TTGCCATACTTCGGGCTGAGGAGTTCCTGGATCAGTTTGTCCCGTTCCTTGAAGCAACCTAGGCTCGCGATCGCTTGCAACACGTCGGGATCGATCGCCTCCACGGACGGAATAACGTGCGTCTGCACCACGTCCATCATCGACAGCTCTAACTCTAGCTCGCCTTTGCCCGCTGCCGTCACCCACACGTGCCTGTTTATCTCCGCCAGCTGAGGAAATACAAAATTAGTTGGACATCGTCGCAAGCTTTCTCTGAAATACTGGCCCACACGTTTGGTTCCCAAAGAATTTCGAGTTTGGCTAATCGAACGATACGGATGAAATCGATGAACCCTCGGCATTGGCCAAATTGAATGTACCGGGTGAGTCAGCTAAGACTCGAAATATTCTTTAAACGAATAATTTCAAGGAATATTTTACCCAAAATGGTCTCGAATGGGGCATTTGAAGGTCAAGTTTTTAAGCGAAATCGTATATATATTTCTTAATTCGTCATTTTGTAAAAAAAGTATTAAATCGTTTACAATGAAAGAACTTTTAATTTTTTCGTTTATATCGAGAAATATTTTAAGTAAAATTATAATAAAATCCAATGGGTTTAAATTTGGTGAACGAAATTTAAACCCATTGGATTTATTATACCATCTAAAGGACATAAAACTGACAATGTGTGAAGAAATTCGACTTTGAATATGTGTTACAATTTAATTAAAACATTTCCTAAACTGATGGTTTTTTTTTTTATAAGGAATGGTTTAACAGATTTTTTATAGAGTTGAATGGAATAATGTATAAGCAAGTTTGATCTTCAAACATTTAATCAAAAACGTAGGATTTAAATCTAACCTAAAAATAACCATTAAGTTAAACACAGAACCTAAAACATTTCTGGTTACGATTAATACAGGATCTAAACTTAACCTAATAATAATCATTGAGTTAAACACAGAACCTAAAACATTTCTGGTTACGATTAATCTTTTCGATTAATATTCGAAAAATGTATTAAAAAATATACGATTTCGCTGAAGAAAGTAAGCTTGACGTTCAAACCTAAAACACAGGACCTAAACCTAACCTAAAAATAACCATTAGGCTGAGCATAGACCCTAAAACATTTCTGGCTACGATTAATACAAGATCTAAACTTAACCTAAAAATAACCATTAAGTTAAACATTTCTGGTTACGATTAATCGTTTCGATTATTATTCGAAAAATGTATTAAAAAATATACGATTTTGCTGAAGAAAGTAAGCTTGACGTTCAAACCTAAAACACAGGATCTAAACTTAACCTAAAAATAACCATTAAGTTAAACACAGAACCTA